AGTTTTGACAATGTTATCATTTTCATGCTACATTTGTATATCTCCCCACAATTCTATTTGGTAGGTTCCTTATAGTATAAGCTATGTTATCTCCACCTAACATTTTGTATTAGCAGATTAACTGTTGACCATGTGGGAGGGGCATTTATATCACTCCATCTCTCTGGCCATTTCATTTCGGTCCTGACTTAAAAAAACAAACCTGGCAAGGAGCATCTTCAGTTCCTAGGATTTCAAGTTGTCAAGTTAACGTTGTTGTCAAGGTTGGCAAATATTGCTTCTTACATTTCTACCTGATCGTGTTACAGTTGATTAGGATATGGCCTTATACATGTAACAGTTTGGATTAGGATATGACCTTATAATATTTGTATGTACAATGTAACTGTTTTGATGTCGCCATTTTTGCTAAATGACATAATAATGTTTGAAGTCATAGTATTCTTGCCAAGTCCATTCATATTTTTGAAGTAACACTGTTCCATTTCAAGAAACCAGAATGAAGGTTTAAAAAGATTGTGTTTTCCTAGTGCTAGTTTCCATTGATTGAGGTTAAGGGTGTTTTCATTGAAATGGTTTTAAGCAATGTATCATCATATTAGATATATGTAAGTATACATGTAGGTGAGACAAATTGTCTGATACAGGGACCTCCCTAAACAATGGAGCAGTGGAGCTCCTCCACCCAGTCCTTATCTCAGCTCCACCCTGTTAATTTTCAAAACTAGTGTTTTTACACCCTTTTCCAGGGTTCTTTGGTCAAATTTACCGATATTTCGCACCCTCCTCCATTCTGTCCTAAATTTCTGGGGAGATCCCTGTGATACAACCATACAAGGTAACCATCCATTGTCGTCACTGTGCATTTTATGCCTGAAGGCCAGTTATACCAATTGATTGATTCAGGTACAGACAGGTAGAATGAATAGACAATGTAACCATTCATACGTCATTGAATCACAAGGATAGTGAGGTTGATGCCCTTTCCAGGTTTCTCAGTCAGTGGTTTTTAAAAGCTTTCACCCATAAAACTATCTGTCAAAGGACGACTTGTTATAAAATAGATAATTTACAAATCATTTTCGTACAAATTAATTGGAGGATTTTATTGGCTTGATAGATTTCTAAGTAGACCTTGAATGATTTATGAAAATGATTGCTAGAAGCAAGCTATATATTTTATGTCAGTTGTCAAAATTGGAATTTATGTGCAGTAACTTACAAGTTACAGACAACATATGCATGTAGTTTATACTTAAACGTAAACGTACAATTACAGCTGTTGTCTGAAGAGTCTAATCATGGAGTGACATTTCAGGTAGGCGTGGTACCTCTGAATAGACCCATTTTTCAGCTGATTTACAAATTATACCTCAAAACGTGTTTACAAGGTATTAGCTGCCTTTCATAAAAAATTTTGGCCAAGGCTTTACAGGATTGGGAATAGGGCTTTTGAATTTTCTTAAGTTTTAGTAGAGGCTGTTAAAAGTGCTCATTCATAGTTGTTGACATTCATGTAGTAAGTGCACACTGTATGTGCTTTTTGTATTACCTGGCCAGTGGCCTGTGCAGTTTGTCACTAGTAACTGTAGCCTCAGGGTTCTCCCCAGTCAACCAACCATTCATGACATCCAGACAAGAACAGGTTGGACTCGTGCTATACAAAATTGCCATTTATGAATTATATCTGGGTCATCTGATACACTTGTGGAGTCGGCACTTACAGTAGTAATCCAGCGCACAAAGGAAAAAGCAGAACCTCATTCATATCCTAAATTCTTCAGTCAGATATCATCATGTAGGCATGTTGTTAACAGTGGTGCAGGCACAGTTGTTGCTAGTTTATATGTTAAAACGTGTCTGTTGAAAGGTGAAGGGTGGGAGATGTTGAAAGCTTGCCAGCTGACCATCTTATCTCAAGTTCAGTGCTTTAAACTTTGACACGTCGGTGGTGTCATTTATGTCTGCTATCTCTGTGTGTCTAATAATGTGGGAGTATATACTGGTACATTTAACAGAGTGTGCTACATGTCATATAAACGTCATACTTTGTTTATCATTCGTAAGGCCACAGCAAGTAAATTTTATGGATGACATCCTCCGCAGCGTCCAAATCTGATGCTAGTGGGCAAAAAAAAACAAGGTTCCCACATTTTAAAATCACATATCACTGCATCAAAGAAACAAAACATTCAATCAGAACCTTTTCTTGTTTCCTCTCTTCATAGTTATCTGCCATCCACCTTCCGGCATGGCCACAGACGTCTTTGCCCATTTTCGGCATGTTGACCACTTTCAAAATGCAACAAAATTTTTTTTTTTTTTTTTTCAAAATCAGGTGAAAATTAATGCGCGTGCAGATGTCATCCATATTACTTGCTGTGGCCTAAATGCATACCAGACAACTTACACGATCTAAATCAAGGACTAAACAAAAGGCACATGCTCTGTTTTATGTCTAGGTGTAAAACATCTCCAGCATCTGGTAACTGCTGGTACAAAATGCCTGAATTGTACAATCCTGGTTTTGAAATTTGACAAATGGCCATGCCTTAATTGAGGTTTCTGTCTGTTACCCTATTGATTCTTCATGTTGTTGAACCATCAGTGCTCAATACCTTTGTAAATGAAATTTTATTGCACAAGCAGTACACCGCTTAGAAACTAAGGGGTGGTGATCTTTCAGGGCTTACATTTTAATATTTCAGATTATTTGTATTCTGTTAGACCCTTAGTTTCAGCCATTTTGCAATAAAGCGATCCTCCAGTGGTTTATTGATTGGTGACAGTCTACTAAACAAGAGAGATAGAGCAGTAACATTTAATCATCTATTTATAGAAGGTGTGTGTGGTAAGCCTGGTGGAATGTACCATTTCACCACTGAGGGGTGTGATATGTCATAGACGATCATCTTTTTTCTGGAATGTACAATTTATATATGTAATATGTATTTTAGTAATATTGTGTGGACATATAATTTTTTTGATGCAAGTTTTTCTGATTCCTCCATTCATAAATAATGATATAAGCCAAATTGAAGGTCAGTCATGGTATCTTACTTTTTAGGACCTCAGCTGGTAAAAAGCTAAGTGGGTGCAGAGGATACCCTGTCATCAAATATCAATACCTTTGAATCAGTTTGATGAATATTTTATAAGATAGGGTATTTTCCTGTTGTGCCTTTGTCCTTGATAATTATCTGGGGTTGAAATATACTGTACAATTTGACATTTTTCCCAAACTCTTGCTCTTGGTAGTTTATCTATCAGTATCACAAAATTTATAGTCAGTGTTTTGACATAAAATAACAGACTATTATTAATTAAGTAAAATCTATATATATGACACAGACATGATAATAGCTGATGGAAATGGGAAAATTAAAGGAAATACAGTATTTCTTTACAGGAAATAAAGACATTCTACAGTGATAATCAGCTGTGGGTAGCAGGTACCGGCATTTTGAGCATTTGCTAGGACGGGATCTATTCTTTTGGTATATACAAATATATGTTTCAAACAGTTAAAATATTGAATGTCTCTGAACTGTCAGCTGACCACTTTGAAGGCCCAAATTCATGTACTAGCTATACTCACATCTTTCATTACAGAAATTTTATATCAAGGGTTTGGTGAGCTGCTAATATCTTTTATATTAAGAAATATGATACTGTTGAGCTGTACAGGTGCAAGCTGTATTGGTTGTCCTAAATAGAATAGCAAGTACATGATGTCACTGTTTGAGATTCAGATGTAGATGCTTTAGTACTTTAACTGAATGTGTCATGTAATTTTCTTGCAGAAATTTGCCATGGGAGACACAGAAGTTCTGGCCGATGTGACCAACACTGATGTAGCCATGAACGGAGACAATGAGGTAGGATTCTCAATGTTTCTCTTCTTTACTATACATTATTATCGATAGGGAAATACCATCCAGCAATATAGTTCATGAGTATGCATTAAAGGCGTTGAAAAAAAAACATATTTCCCAGTTATAACTACCCAATTTTCTTAGACAGTAAGAGGTATAGATAATGTTTCTTGAAGACTTGGCTTCAAGTGTTGGTACGATATACATAATCTTAATTGTTTTGCGTCCTTGCCTCCTGTCTTTAGCTATAGCCCATTGCTCCCCAAAGAACTGTCAAGCATTATTTTATTGAAGATAAATAAAAATGTGAATTGCCAAGTATTTTGTTAACTGACTTCCTTGACTTACTTGACTTAGTTGACTACAGATCCACATTCATGTTGTACAAGTACAATGTAGCCCAGCAATGCATATTAATGAGCTGGATATCCTCTCTTCTTGGAAATTCTTCACACAGAAATGCATTGTTCTTGGAAATATTATGGAAATGCTTAGGGCCTTTTATGTGTATATTATACATATAAAATTATAAGTTTTCATTATCATGCATCTGAAACAAAGAAAGCAAGCAATCATGCTGACTTCCTGCCTTATACTATAGTTGTATTGCATTATACAACAATACTATGGCACAATGTGTTTCTACGAAGTCTTCATGCATAAAACCATGATACGTGGAAACATGATGTCAAATCGATTGTACTTCATAAAAACCTTAAGTCTTGCCATGCAATGTATTCTGTTTTCCACTGTTAAACTTCTAAATAAAAGAGACGCCAACTATTGTGTTGTCCCATTCTACTCTGGACTAATGTTCTACCAGGTGTTTGAGGACAGTAAAGTCTTCACCCAGAAAACCTCCATCACCCTTAAGAAGTCGAACGCTTCTTCATCTTCTGCACGATCTGGGAGTCTGTCTGGAGACGAGGATAAGAAAGGGATGAAGCGCGTCAGCAGATCTTCTCGGACAAGTAGCAGCAGCTATGAGAAGAAGAAGAGAGGTATTAATATTATATTACTTCTTGTACTTTTGATATTTTTATTGTGACTCCCAGTCCATTCATTTTCTACATAGGTTGTCTTATATCAAGTATAACTAATCAGGGCTCAAAATATTGGGTATGTGGGTCTTAGTGCAGGTAAAATTGGAACCTTGCAGGTATTTCTGATGTCAACATGTACCTGCACCTAAACTGCACCAGTTCATGTACTGGATTTGCATACACAATATATGTGGATTTTTATTTACTGCATTGACTGTTACCTGACCTAAATTCTGAGTGGTGCAGGTAAAATTTGTCTGGTGCGGGTAATTTTCAATGTTACCTTCTCTAGAGCAGGTATGCAGGAGAATGTATTTCAAGCCCTGCGTGATAGTATCCAAAATACTTTGTCCATATTCCTTTTTGCCAACACGATATTATGTGCTTTAGGCATTAAGGAAGGTATAATTATTTGGGGAAGATATTTGGTAAAATGAAGTAGCATAAAAGAAGAGTTGTCAAGAAGCTAGTTAAGAAAAAGAATATTCCGTTTTACTACATCCTCAGAACACTGCACATCATCATCATCACCATCAGGTTAGAATATCACCAGTGTTGGTTTGTTGGTTGGTTTGTTAGTTGGTTAATTGGTTGGTTGTTTGGTCATTTAACAGCGTGATTACTCAAAAGTTATTAAAAAATTTATTATTTTTGTTACTTCTGCTTGGGAAAATCTCTTAATCTTTTTTTAAGAATTATTGACTGTGGTAAGATAAAACAATCCCAAATGGCATGTAATAAATTTTTGAATCCTACTCCAAGTTAACAAGTGGTGGTTAAGATATGGAAATGAAATCATGATGGTTTGGAAAAGGGTTACCCTTTTGGAGTGCTGTGTACCTAATATAATAAATAATTCAATACCAGATAACACCAGTAACACTGAAATGCAACAGTTCCTGAAAATAGTCAAAGGTGATAGGTATTAACAAAGACATTTGGACAATAATACAAACGTACACTATTCTGATGTTAGGGAACATCGAATCTTGTGAATCATCCTTCTAGTTCATTTGTCAACAGTCAATCCATTTGTCCTATTTTTTCAGACCGCGAAATTTTGCTACTGCAAATATAAAGTGACTTACAGTAAATCACTTTATTTTACACATCAAAAATTAAGAACTGTAAGGATGATTTGCAACATTCGATATTTTCTAACATCAGAAGAATGTATTTTTGTCCAAATGTCTTTGTTCATTGAATAATACCTATCACGTCTGACCATTTTCAGTACTTGTTGTATTTTAGTGTTATTGGTGTCATACCGTCTTCCTGTGTTGGTTGAGAAGTTGCCTGTACTTGCATGATGCTTGTTAACATGAACTAACGCTGACATTACAGAACCTGCACGGCTGGCCCCCAGTGCGTTTGCCAAATTCCAGCAAGCTGACGCCATGTCCTCCTCTGCCCCAGCCAAGAAAATTAACATCAAGTTGAGCCGTTCTGTGCGGGATCGAGCCAGCGAGACTGACACCACCATGTCCACTGTCAAACAGGCATGTTTTTTTCACTCACCCTCACTGTTGTTTCAAAATTGTCTCTAACACGTGTCAAAATTAAGATTACAGTCAAACCTGGCCAAGAAGACCACTCATCAGGGGACCATTAAATCTGGTCTATGTGAACAGGTGGTCAGTTTGAGTTGAGGTTTCAAAAAGTGGTTACATTGGTCAGCTGGTCCTTATGTAGAGGTGGTCACTTGTATAGGTTTGACCGTATGCCATGTTTAATTTGGAAATCCCTTTTCTGAATGTTTTAACAGAATGTGTAACAATTGATAAAGCTTTACTCCTGCCATAGCCTTTTTGATGCATTCAAAGAGATACTTTATCAGAATTGTGTTCAGTGTACAATTCTTA